TTGAACCCTTTGGTACAGGGGGTGACACACACAGATCGCCGTGATCGGCGTTTTTTCTTTCAAAAGCCGGCTGCAAGCTGTTGTGGAAGTTGTGAAAGTGTGAAAGGTGGTAAGTCCATGCAAGTCGAATTAAGCGTTCGAAATGAATCAAATCGCTCAGCTTGAGGAAGAAAACCACGAAACACAAAGTTCAAAGCTTATACAAGACCGATGCAGGGTGACGTCTGCTGGTGTCTCCGGCGGCCGTGGAGGCAGTAAATTCAGTTAAGGTTGATCCAGCGGTGAGTTCCGGTGAAGGTGGAAAAGCTCAGTTACACGATTTCCGGCATGAATTCAGCGCCCCAGTGACGGGGATCACACTCAGCACCCGAGTGGGACGGCTGAGCGAAACACACTCTGACATTGGTATTCAGTTACACTCAGTTCCCACGTTGGGAAGGAAGGTGAGGGAACGGAGAGGTGCATGAGTCCGCAGAAAACCGTATTGTTGAACAATGTTGGCAGCTGCGCTCGAAAACGATCTGACATTCAAAGTCGGCTGCAAAGCGGCGCAAGGCGGCGGTGGGGAGAGGGTTTGTGGGAGGTATCATGAAGAAACATGAATCAAAAACGTGGAGAGTGGAGTCACAGCTTGATCAAACGTTCCGGTTGCAGGTACACGAATGGACGTCTCCATTCGCTTCCCCTCCAGCGATTTAGCTTCGTTGGACAAGGTTCATCGCTGGAGGCCTTGCCCCCCTGCCTCGTGGAGTGGTTGTAGTAGAAAACCGTGGCATTGAACCCTTTGGTACAGGGGGTGACACACACACACAAAGACCACACACATCTTAGTGTAAATTGCGATCAGAGACAACACACACCGAGACAACACAGACAGAGACCACACACACAGAGACAACACCGAGACAACACACACACAGAGACAACACACACCGACATCACACAGACAGAGATCACACACACACAGAGACCATACACACAGAGGCACACACACAGAGACCACACACATCTTACGTGGCAGGCACAGCGCTTTGTGAAGCTCCATGTGCAGAATTCGCGGCAGGCGCAGCGCTTTGTGAACCTCCATGCTCCGTTAGAGGCTCTGGCTGTTGCGTTGTCGGCGGTTGCCGGCGGTTGTCGGCGGTTGTTGCCGGTGGTCGCC